ACAAGTAATGTGCAAAATTTAAAACCAAATGCTACTTTAAGACCGGGCGTAACTTACTCCAATATTACTAGAAACAACACAACTTTACCTACTGACTCAACGAACTCAATAAACAATAGTAACTCTGAAAACAATACTAACAATAAATGTAATGACTTAACAGAACTTAAAAACATGATTAAAATATTGACAGAACAAATGGGCATAATGCTTAATTTACTAACAACAATTTTATCTAATAAAAAATAATTATGTCTATGCAACTAACAATTTGCATATGGAACTCGAACGGCTTGAGCAATCATGTCCATGAACTCAAACAATTTTTAACTACCAATGACGTAGACATTATGCTAATTTCCGAGACGCATTTTACCGAGACAAATCACAATATTCGTTTTCCTATTATCACACATATACCACAAATCACCCGGACGACAGACCTCACGGTGGCACTGCCATTATCATAAAGTCAAACATAAGACATTACGAGACAGAACCTTTTATACTGACTACATACAATCGACAAATGTTTTAATTGACCTAATGACTCACAAAATTACAGTATCGGCAATCTATTGTCCGCCAAGGCACATTATTACTGAAAATCAGTTTACAACTTTTTTTACCAGCCTTGGAAATTTGTTTATTGCGGGAGGTGATTATAACGCAAAGCACACATTTTGGGGATCTAGACTAATAACACCTAGAGGCCGTCAATTGTATAATACAATAAATAATAATAATCTTCGGACATTTTCTACGGGTGAGCCCACATACTGGCCAACTGATTTGAACAAAATTCCAGACCTCCTCGATTTTTTTGTAGCCAAAAATATTAAAAACGAGAGTGTTGAAATAATTTCAAGTCTGGATCTCAGTTCTGATCATTCACCAGTAATTCTTAAATACTCCACTAATACTCCAACCAAAGTCATGAGTTCGCTTACAAACAAATTTACCGATTGGCTTCTTTTCCAAGAATACATCGAAGACACCATTAACTGTAATATTCCATTAAAAAGTGAGAATGATTTGAATATCGGTATCAACAACTTCACAAATACATTAATTGCAGCAGCTAAAATATCGACTCCTATTCTAAATCACAATCACAGTCACTCTGTGCCCATAGATATTAAAAAAATCATTGCACAGAAAAGGAAATTAAGAAGAATTTGGCAAATAACTAGATCACCGGAAGATAAAAGAAAATTTAACAGTGCATGCAGAGACCTGAAAAATTTAATAATAAATTATAAAAATGTTTCTTTTGAAAACTACTTACATAATCTTTCTGCAAGTAGTGAAACAAATTATTCTCTTTGGAAAGCAACCAAAAAATTGAAAAGACCAATTGTACCAATTCCTCCTTTAAGAAAAACAGACGGTTCATGGGCAAGAAGTCCAGAAGAAAAAACTAATGCATTCGCCGAACACCTGCGCCTCACATTTCAGCCATTTTCACGTAAATGCAACTCTAATGATGAACAATTCATTTATGATTTTCTTCAGGATTCACCGTCGCTAGTGACTCATGATGTTAATCGTTTTACTGCGGCTGAAGTAACCCAAGAAATTGCAAAAGCAAATTCTAGAAAATCACCTGGACCAGACCGGATTTCTATTAAAATGCTTAAAGAACTTCCAAGAAAAGCTATTAGAATGCTCACAATAATATATAACTCTATACTGAGAATGAAAACTTTTCCGCAGTCTTGGAAAAGAGCTAAAATAATCCTTATAGTGAAACCAGGTAAAGACCCTTATCTATTATCTTCCTACCGGCCGATAAGTTTATTGTCTTGCATATCGAAAATATTTGAAAAGCTAATTCTTCAACGGATTAAAATAATCCTACAAGAACAAAGTTTTATTCCGAACCATCAATTTGGGTTTCGCGACAAACATTCAACAATTGAGCAAGTTCACAGAATAATAAACGTAATTAACAATGCGCTGCATAATAAAGAGTACTGTTCTGCGGCTTTTTTGGATCTCAAGCAGGCATTTGACAAAGTATGGCATACCGGATTAATGTATAAAGTTAAAAGATGTTTACCAGATTCTTTATTCCTATTAATAAAATCTTATTTACAAAATAGAAACTTTTTTGTCAGCATCGCCGATACGGACTCAAATATTACCGAAATTAATTCTGGAGTGCCTCAAGGGAGTGTCCTCGCCCCAACACTATTTTTAATTTTTACAGCTGATTTTCCAACTTCAACTGACACGAGTTTAGCCACATTTGCTGATGATACGTGCATCATCGCCACAAACAAAGATCCGACTGCAGCTTCCAACAGCCTTCAGCACCATCTCAGCTTAGCTGAGAAATGGTTTTCGTTGTGGAGGATAGAAGTAAATAGCACAAAATCAGTCCATATAACTTTCACGCTTCGCACCCAAACTTGCCCAGCAGTTGTACTCAACGATGAAATTATTCCGTCCAAAGAATCAATAAAGTATCTCGGCATTCACTTAGATAGGAAACTCAACTGGAAAGTACACATAAAGAACAAAAAACAACAAATAGATCTAATCTTCAAAAATTATTATTGGCTCTTAAACAGAAAATCAGAATTATCAACTTACAACAAATTACTTATATATAAGGCTGTGATCAAACCCGTGTGGACCTACGGATTACAACTTTGGGGTACTGCTAAAAAGAGCAATTTAAACATAATACAACGAGCACAAAACAAATTCCTGCGGCAAATATTAAACGCTCCTCACTACACGCCAACATGGATTCTCCACAAAGACACGGGTATACCTACAATTCAAGAACATATATCAATGTTTGCCTGTAATTATAAGAATAGAATTGACGCACATCCAAACCAACTAGCATGCAACTTATACCAGGAAGGCCAGCCGACCAGGCTCAAAAGGAAAATACCTCGAGATTTATTATAGTTTATTTTTATATTTATATTTTTTTTCTCTATACTTGTCTTTAGTTTTTTCTTTTTTATATATTAACTATAGTAGATACACCACTGGGCGTATGTGCTAATTTGTAAACAACCAATTGTAAACACTTGTCAGCATTCTCTGCTAAATATAATTATTTTTATAGATTGCAGAATAAAAAAAAAATAAAAAAAAAAAAAAAAAGTTTATGGATAATTAATCCCCAAATTAATTTCGATCTTTTTGTATTTGGGATAATAAACCACATAAAAATTTCTATTTTTTCAATAAATCGCTTTAGGACATAATGGTAATATTACACAACATTTCAATTTACTGATGGTAGATATTCTACATATTTCTATATAGATTTTATGCTGTATCTAAACTGAATATAATAAAAAATATTATTTTTTTAATTGAGGCTTTAAGATTATCGAATTCCCATGTGTTTGTGAACATGTAAATTTGGAAAATAATTTTGATTCGTATATGTATTTTGAATCTCTATCTCTAGACAGCTTCTACATATTTATTTATACATATTCTTTTAGGATCATCCAATGGATGAACAACTCAATTAATTGCACAATTCTTTGGAGTATAGTACATTACGTTTTTTTTAAACCATCGTCGTGTTTAAATTATTCAAAAGTAATAATAATTCTCAGGCCTAGCCAACGATTTGAAGCATCAGATTATAGAGCTTTTCGATTTCTATCCTCTTGAAATATGAAAAATCAAATGTTACTTCAAATTTATTGTTTTATATATATTTATTGTTATATATATTTATATTTATTGTTTTATATTATAGTGATATTTTGGCGATACTGTAGATACCAGTTTAAAAAACTCATATTTATGTTTACAAATTAATTTCAAAATCATAATAGGCTACATACAACTTTGTCATAATTACAGTCAATAATGGCGTGTATAATGTTTGGTTTGATTCGAATAATTTACAAATTAAATAATAATAAACAATAAATATTTTTAATTTCAACAAACGTCAAAAAACTGCTCATTTCTCAAACTTGGATGAATTTTTAAAATTAAACTACTTATCGTAAGGCCGTAATATTTCAGTAAGTTCTATAAGGCCATGATATATATCGCCAAAAAAAAGTTCCACAAAAATCGGCTTAATTTTTTTTCAACAGTTAATTACAAGAAAACGGCTCGGTAGATTTTCACCTAAAACTAATCAATATCATTCCCAACTAATATCTTTCGAACAGTTTTTGGTTTTTTAAAATCGATTCGGTAGTATGAGCTTAAATGTGGACGAAAAGTTTAACACTTTTTTCAAATTATAAAGAAACGGCTCGACAGATAGTCGCACAAAACTGACAAACGATAGTCCTCATTGAGATACATCAAATGGCTTTTAAATTTCTGAAATCGGTTCAGGCGTTTTTGAGCAAACGTCGAAGAAAGGTCTAATTTTGACAAATGCAAAAAAACGATACTAATTTTTGTTAACTTTGAAGAATTTTTCTGCGACTTGTCGTAGGGCCGTAATATTTTAGTATGATCTATAAGACTATGGTATCTACCGCAAAAAAACGTAAATATCTTCGAAAAAAATTTTTTTAACACTATTACAAGAAAACGGCCTGGCCGATCTTTCCCAAAAACTAATCAGCACCATTACCAGCCAATATGTTTGCAACGGTTTTTGAATTTTTAAAATCGATTCAGAATTGCGGGCTAAAACGTGGACAAAATTTTTTTCACTTTTCTGCTACTCACAAAGAAACGGCTTGGCCGATCGTCGCACAAAACTGACAAACAATAGTCCTCATCGAGGTACATCGAATGGCTTTTAAATTTTTGTAATCGGTCCAGCCGAGAAAACGTCAATTTACGGCAAAAAATCTGTTCACATACACACACACATAATTTTTCAAAATTTGGTCTCACCCAATTGGCTTGAAACGTCGAGAAAACATAAAATTAGCGAATCGGATTTTTTATGAAAACATAAACTTCTCCTTCGGGAAGTTAAAAATCAACAAAACGGTTTTAGTTTTAAATATAATATTGATTTTCGGATTATAAAAATCTCTTACTTGGTGTACAGGAAGACTCCAGAAGGTGATATAAAGATTCCAGATCCAATTATTGTTCCAACAATTATACCGACACCATTAATCAGTGTTATTTTTCGCTTTAACTCGATCTTATCAACGGAAGCAACAGGCTTAGCCGTTAATTCAATTTCTGTTTGTTTTGTGGTTGTCATATTGTGAGATATGGCGCGATATTTAAATTAATCCGATAACTTTCAGAGAAAGTCTTTTGGCTAAAAATAATAATATACCATTAATTTGTATGATATTAAAACAGTTATTTAGAACTTATTATAATTATAAATATGTATATTAAAATAATAATTACTTACCTCTAAACAATATCCATTTTATGTTTGGTAAAATTGATAACAATTTTTGGAATAAATTTTGAATATGGCAGTGACACACTTTAAAACAATCAATTATAATTATAGAATTAAGTTACAAAATCTTTTTATACAACATAAATTTTTAAAATTTATACGTTGTCAGTACTACTACGAGCAGTTCCCCTAAAAGTACATGCGAACTATGCAATCTTTTTATGTTCAGGTATATTTAGAACTGCAAAAATCTAATGCAATAACTGTTCACTATTACATATTCCTTTGATTAATTCATAAACTATTTTTTCTTTCAATTATTATTAATTTTAGTAAAAGGATGTTTAATTTTATGTTCAGTGTTTTTATATAGAAATAATACTTTAAATGTTTTTTACAACCGGCTGACATAACCTATTAGACAATTTACGGCATGGCTCCTATATATGAACATCGCGTTTCTTTTAACTTTACAATCGAAATGGTTTAGCAGAGCACGCGGCGTGTGAGTAATATTCATTATGGGGAGCGCATGCGTACGCAAACCTCGACGGCGTGACAGGGTAGGGATACAGGTTATTGCCTGTCCCTTATTTTCACTTATCAAAACTTCGAAATGTGATTTTTGGCTTCGTCGAACTGGATACACTACACATAAAACCTAGTGACACAGAATTCATGATAAATATGCCAACCGCAAAATGCGTTTTTTTGTATATTTTTATGTTATGTATTTTACTTATATAAATCAAGTAGTATTAGATCACTTATCCTGGTATTTTAGTTTTAACTAGTGAGGCGCATGGCATCGTGCCTTAAGGCAAATTGCTGGAACTTCCCGTATCAAAAAATATTATTTTTTTAAAAACGAATAACATTTTTGAAAAAAAAAATACTTCGAATAAATTAGATTTGTGAGAAACTATGAACTGAACAAAAATTTTTTTTTTTAATTTTTTTTGAAAATTTTCTTTATTTTCTTTATTTTGGAATATTTTGGAATATCTAAACTTTTTTTCAAAGCAATCGTACTGCCTTAACTGCATAGAGACAAAACATAAAGCACGTAAGCGCCGCGTCGCTGTCTAACGGATAAATATTGGTACGGAACCCGTAGGAATGTAAACAAAATTCATACTTATCTCTATAAAATATTTGATAATTTGATGTGCATATATCTAATGATCATTTTTGACCGCTAAATGGCATTTCTTTTTATTTTTTTTGTTAGATCTCCGAAACCGCTAAATCTGCCCTCATGAAAATTTGATCAATTATTCATCTTTTTAATACAAGTAAAATGTTTTTTGAATTATTAAAATCGGACGCTCCGTTCTCTTAAAAACTGAGTTACCGTTTTCGGTACTTTTTGCCCCGTATCTTCGGAATGGCTAGACCTGCCTTCGCCAAAAACTAATCAGCACATCTCCTTATCAATACGAATCGAATGTTTTTTGAATTATTCAAATCGGTTGATCCGTGTTCCCAAAATCGTCGACGAAAATTTGTATCCGAACACACACACATACACACACACGTACATCCATTTTTTCTAAGGTATGCTAAAATGTTCAGAAACCTTTGAAACCTAAAGATATATAAAAAATTTCATTTTCGTTTTTTTTGCGATTACTATAACTTGCCCTACGGTTAAAAAGTATTCAAATATGCTATTATTAAAAAATATTTAGTCTATGTTGCTCCAAATGTAGTTAATAAAGTCTTTGTCCAAAAATCTAAAATGAAAATTTTTGCATATCTTTATGTTTCACAGCTTTCTGAACATTTTAGAAAAAAAGAATGTACGTATGTGTGTTTCGAACGCTCGGATCAACGTATTTGAATCATTTCAAAACATTCGATTCCAATTTATAGGGAGACGTGCTTATTAGTTAGACAGTGTGAAAAACAACAATTAGTTTTTTTGAGGAAAGCAAAAAAAAATATTTTCATTTTACAAAATCTCAAAAATTTTTTTTTTTAATTTTTAATGTATATTTTTTTTTGAATATCGAAAAGGATATGGTGTTCAATGTTAATTCGAGATAAAATTTTGAAGCTCACTTATATTCTAACTTTGCAACTTAGTTTATATAATCCTTTTTTTTCTTAAATTTTATTTGGCCTCGCTTACTCTGAGCATTTAGCCACCTACATAATTTTTTATTTATTTACATTCTAATTTTTATATCGTTTTCAATCTATATATGTATCCTATTTTATATTCTTCTTATTTTTCTTCTTCTCAATTTCAATTCTTGCTTTTTTTCAAATTTCTAATTCTATTTAACTTCTAGCTTCACTCCATTCTTTTCTTCATTCTTCTTTTTAATTTCAGCTCAGTTCTAATATTTCTCTTCTTACTCCTAATACAATTCAGCTATTTTTCTTAATTTTTTATTCAAATTATACTTAACACAACAATTTTTATTTGATTTCAAATTAACTATACATTTTATTTTCTTATATTCTAAGTCAATGACAGGATTTGATCCGAAGATCCACTATATAATCCTTAGAAATATGAGATAACATGCTTTATTCTAACACCCCCGCTTTATGAAGTTTTGTTTATTTACTTTTCATATAAACATATATAAACGTCATATTTATAAGCTCTTATATTTTTGTCTATCAAATACGAATAATGAAAGTTACAGTATTATTTATAATAATCCATTTAATATTTCTCGAATATGCCATTTAGGTGCGGGAAGTTCCAGCAATTTGCCTTAAAGCACGTTGCCATGCACGACCTTTTATACATTTATTTTACGTTTTACTACCCTGTTGTTAATTATAACCTCAGCTTGAATACGAAATGAATAGCAATTTCGAGAAAGAATTCAAATAAGTTCAACGGTTGAATGTTGACCGTTACGTGTAATACAGCTTTGGATGTATTGTCCTTATCATATTCATACCTTATGGCAATTATTCATAATTTTATTTATTCATGTCATTATATGATTTAAATAATTCACATTTTTTATTAATTTAATATGTGGGATTGCATTATAAATTTTGCCGTGTATTGGTTTATATTGAGTTTCAATATTTTCAATATAAGATGCCGTATATTTTTTATTTTATTTTAATATTTTATAATCCAGCAATTCATTAAAAAATTTACTGAAAGTATGAATATATTTTAATAAACTACTCAAGACCCTTTATATTATGTGGCAGCTGTAATGCTGTTGCCAATGCGCAACAGCTTATTACCTATAAATGTAATAGAATTTCCTGAAAATAATAATAAACTATTGTAGATGTAAATAATAATAAGCACAACTATATGTTTTTGAGTATTATGCTTTACTTGCAATTTGCTAAAATTACGTTAGCCTAAAAAAGTTACAAAATTTCAATGTAGCTTTTGCCGTTGAATATGAATCTAAAGTCAAAGGTCTGGGGTCACACTGCAAAAAAAACGGAGAAAAATAAAAAACGTCGAAATCTTCGATGAATTAATTCTTCTGCATGATAATCAAAATTTTACAATTTCAATCGGTTTTCTGGACCCTTTACATTATGGCTTGTGCCACGAAATTCTGCAATACTTTTTCATCTTTTGTGTTTCTTTTTGTAGAATCCAGCAGTAATTTGCAAGCATATTTTTAAGTACATACTGCAATATTTTGCCTACTCAGGAAGCAATCTGGTGGAAATATTTTCGTGAATTTCTACGAAAAAACATACACAGGTAAATTTCTTACGCTTAACGTTAAGCTAGCACAAGAGGCTCCATGGACCTGCCTTTGGGCCTATCGTTTATTATTTTTTATTAACTAGTGCAAGACAATTTTCTAAATATTAACCATCGTTTTGCATCGTTTTATGAAACCTTCTAATATTATTTTGTTGGCATTTCTTAATCTAAATCTTCTTTTATTTTGCTATTTTTAGCTTTGGTGTTTTTTATCAAAATAAACAGTTTTTTTAAGCGCAGTAAATCAGGAATAATTTGCTTTTAGCCAAAATGTGGTATGTAAACTGTTCAACTGTTTATTTCGAAAATAAATTTTTTGAATTCACTAAAAAGTAATCAATGCGAATTACAATTGATATCTCTCAAACATACTTATAATATTTGCAACTATATAAATAAAATTGATTTGCTTAATTTTTTTACTTCATCCATTTCGGATTTTAATGATGATTTTTATTTAAGTGTGTGCGTCAACTAATTAGTCATCCACGAAACACTGACTGCTTATAATATTTTGATATATTATTTCAGACTATGAAATATATCGTCATACAAAGTTGCATCATAATTGTCAAACCAATTTTTCACATTTAACTACGAAAAAAACGGCACATTTTTACCAAAAACTAATCAACGCGATTACCAACCAATATCTTTCGATATTGAATATTCAAAATCGGTTCAAGATTGTGGGCTAAAACATGGCCGAAATTTTTAACTTCCCGTAGGGCAAATTATGGTAATTGCAAAAAAATCAAAAATGAAAATATTTGTATATCTTTACGTTTCAAAACCTTCTGAACATTTTGGCATACCTTAGAAAAAATGGATGTATGTGTATGTGTATGTGTATATGTGTGTGTGTGCGGATACAATTTTTCGTCGACGATTTCGTTTATTATTTTCGTTTCGTTACTTGTATTAACAAGATAAAGAACTGATCAAATTTTCATGAAGGCAGGTCTAGCGGTTTCGGAGATCTAGTAAAAAAAGTAAAAAAAACTCCATTTGGCGGTCAAAAATGATCATTAGACATATGCACTACAAATTATCACATAATTTATATAGATTTTAACAATAAGTATAAATTTTGTTTACATTCCTTTGATATTTTGTCTCTATGCGTTTATAGCAGTATGATTGCATTGAAAAAAGTTCAGAATTTCCAAAATATTTCAAAATAAATTTTTCTTCAATAAGTCTTTTTTTCAAAAAGAAAGTAAATTTTTGTCAAAAATTTTTAGTTTCTCAAAAATTTAATTTTTTCAGAGTAATTTTTTTTCAAAAATGTTAATTTTTTAAAAAAAATAATTTTTGGTACAGGAAGTTCCAGCAATTTGCCTTAAGCCACGATGCCATGCGCCCCACTAGTTTTACACTTTTCTGCTAATTATAAAGAAACGGCTTGGCCGATTGTCACACAAGACTGACAAACACTAGTCAGTATAGAATTATATCGGTATGTCGGTATAGCCGTTTTT